GACGTAGGAATTTGGGGACGTGGGAATTTGGAGACGTGGGAATTTAGGGATGTGGGAATTTGGAGATGTAGAGATTTTGGGGATGTGGGAATTTGGGGATGTGGGAATTTGGGGACATGGGAATTTGGGGACGTGGGAATTTGGGGACGTGGGAATTTGGGGACGTGAAAATTTGGAGACGTAGGAATTTGGGGACGTGGGAATTTGGGGACGTGGGAATTTGGGGACGTGGGAATTTGGGGACGTGGGAATTTGGGGACGTGGGAATTTGGGGACGTGGGAATTTGGGGACGTGGGAATTTGGGGACGTGGGAATTTGGGGACGTGGGAATTTGGGGACGTGGGAATTTGGGGACGTGGGAATTTGGGGACGTGGGAATTTGGGGACGTGGGAATTTGGGGACGTGGGAATTTGGGGACGTGGGAATTTGGGGACGTGGGAATTTGGGGACGTGGGAATTTGGGGACGTGGGAATTTGGGGACGTGGGAATTTGGGGACGTGGGAATTTGGGGACGTGGGAATTTGGGGACGTGGGAATTTGGGGACGTGGGAATTTGGGGACGTGGGAATTTGGGGACGTGGGAATTTGGGGACGTGGGAATTTGGGGACGTGGGAATTTGGGGACGTGGAAATTTGGGGACGTGGGAATTTGGGGACGTAGGAATTTGGGGACATGGGAATTTGAGGATATGGAAATTTGGGGACGTGGCAAATTGGGGATGTAGAAATTTGGGATTCCAGAATAAACACTCTTCAGCCTCTTCACACACCAACTCGTGAATCAACACCATTACATCTCACCTTACACCTTCATTTTGTTCAACAAAAACAACGCAAATTAATTTAGTTCCAATCTAAAAATTGCAAAACTCCTCAAACACAGTTTTCAAAACTGTGATTTCTCAACTGTACACTAACGACGGCACTGATTAAAGCCTACCAATCTCAAGACCAAGTTCAAGCTTGACTAGCGTAAAATCTCACCACAAAATGAATAATTTACAAAGAACAATCTCCACCCTCCCCCTACTAGATCCACTCCTGTTCACAATAAATTCTCAAATACGATTAAAGCTTTTTAAATGAGTGCCCAACTCATACTCATTATGAGACATGCCTATGTGCTATTTTGATCGTTTACTTTTTTTTTCTTTTTATAAATGAAGCTGTAAGTGGTGAAATGATTTCGTTGTTCATTGTGGAGGAACGAAGTTGTACACCGGGTATCTCGGTGCGAAACGATTCGATATTCCGAAAACGTGTTCCGATTCGCCGCGTTCCCAGAGGCTTCGGGCGCCATTTGTCGATTCTTCGTACGACGGAGGAGCTGAAATAAAATGTTAGACAAATTAATTTAGGAACTTTTAATTGTGACGTAATAATTTATTCGTTTTTCACGCGGTAGTCGAAGGGAGAGTTTAATGAGATAAATATTTAGAACTTTTTAGATTTTTGGATTTGTGGAATTTTGAAATTTTAGGGTTTTAGAGATTTGGGAGTTGGAAGTTATTATATTTTGAAACTTTGGAATGCTGGAAAATTTAGAATTTTTGTATTTCTGAAATGTTAGAATTTCAGGTCTTTGAAGTTTTTAATAATGAACTATGAACAATTTAGATTTTTTTTAATTTTATGAATTTGCAACTATAGAACTTTAGAATTGTTTAACTTTTATAATAAATGAAATATTCTTACGTAAATTGGGATATAAACTCGAAGCCGGTGCACCATCAGGACTGGACGTCGGAATTCCAGGAGCAACCCATCCAACTTCCGGTTTAGTTGGGTATGCTTCAGCTGGAGGAGCACTTGGAGTTTGATAATTCACCAACGGTACCGTTCCAACGAAGACAAGTGTATTTTTTGATAGATTTCGGTGATACCTGAAATAATATATATTGGAATCTTCCCGTCAGTTTTCTGTCGTTTCGAATCAAATAATCTCTCTCCATCATTCTTTCGTTTTAGATCAAATAGATAGTCTATGAAATAGATAGACGGTGATACCAATGCCAATTGCTATACCGATGTCAAATCACGAATTGGCACGTGAAGAGACTGACCTAGGTGTTCATTCATGAATACCTAGATTACTGAACTCCTACATTTCAGATTAAATACATTACTGAATGCATAGATTACTGAATTCCTTCATTTCCGAATCACTGTTATTCCAAGTCGGTAGATTCCCAAATTAGTACATCCCTAAGTCGGTGTAACCCCAAATTTCTACGTATCCAAATCGGTATGTTCCCAAGTCGGCATATCCCTAAATCCCTACGTCCCTAAATCGCTGTGAGTAGAAATTAGTATGCCCCCAAATCGGTATATCCCCAAATCCCAACGTCCCGAAATCGGTACGTCCCCAAATTCCAACGTCCCCAAATTCCAACGCCCCCAAATCCCAACGTCTCCAAATCCCAACGTTCCGAAATCGGTACGTCCCCAAATTCCAACGTTTCCAAATCCCAACGTCCCGAAATCCCAACGTCCCCAAATCCCAACGTCCGAAATCGGTACGTCCCCAAATCCTAACGTCCCCAAATTCCAACGTCCCCAAATCCCAACGTCCGAAATTGGTACGTCCCCAAATCCCAACGTCCCCAAATTCCAACGTCCCCAGATCCCAACGTCCCCAAATCCCAACGTTCCGAAATCGGTACGTCCCCAAATTCCAACGTTTCCAAATCCCAACGTCCCGAAATCCCAACGTCCCCAAATCCCAACGTCCCTAAATCCCAACGTCCCCAAATCCCAACGTCCCCAAATCCCAATGTCCCCAAATCCCAACGTTCCCAAATCGGTACATCCCCATATCGGCATATTCCCAAATCCCAACGCCCCCGAATCGCTATGACTCCGAACTAGTATCATCCCAAATCCCTACGCCCCCAAATTGCTATGACTCCGAATTAGTATTCCACCTTGCTACGTCCCCAAATCGGTGCATCCCTAAATCGGCATATCCCCAAATCCCTACACCCCCAAATCGCTATGACTCCAAATCAGTATCCTCCCCAATCGCTACGTCCCCAAATCAACATACCCCAAAATCTCTTTATAAAAACAACCAAAAATGTCACTAACCATGTCGAAACACAGGCCTGGACCTTAATATTATACTCCAAATCAATGATCCCGCAATTGGTAAGGTTTGACGGTGGTAACGGAGGAATATCAAGCGTCTGTTCATATTCAGCAGTTGCTCCTCCTTCCACAGGTCCTTTGCCAACTTCCGCCACCACGATTTCTTCCATTTTGGTGTCCGTGGTGGGCATAGTTGCACGGAAAGTCACGATCTAGACTTCACGATTGATCGTTATCTTCAAAGGTTTCACATCATCACGCAAATGGCTGTTAGTAGCAGCACCTAGCTGAGTTGTACCTTACAAAGAATGAGCTTAACACTGTCCACCGTCACTCCAGATAAATTTTCAACGTTCACCTTTACCGGCATCGACTGACCTGGCACGTATCCTCTCACCGGTAACGAGTAGTTCACCGTCAATGGCGCTGATGCGCAACACAAACAGCAAAACGATTTGCTCATTTCTTCGTGGACGCTTTCCTGAAAATAGGGACTCGTTAAGCTCTTCATTTATTGAACTAACTAAAGCTTCTTACTTTCATTCATGAAATTTGGTAAAACTTTTTTGAAATTTATTTTTGTTAAAATTTTCTTCAAATTCATTCTTGTTAAAATTCGTTGTTGAGATGAAAAATTAAAGAGTATATTAAATTACAATTAATAGCTTGTTTATTTATTTTTTTTTGCTTCATTTAAAATTTTTTGTTACGTGTGCAGTATTTGATGGTAAGGTTAGTATCAACGCATGGCTTTCAAAATGGCGCGTTCTAGAGTCCTCATTTTGAATGTAAGAAATTAAGATATTTTCATTGAAATGTTACTCTTTATGAAGACGAAAATTTTATGTATTCTCTATATATTTATCTTTGTACTTTATTTTTGGTTCCAAAGGTATTTCTAAAATGTCTTCGTCAAAATGCATGTCCTTTGTGAAGATGAAGAATAATTGCATAAAATTACTTTATATTTCATGCTTTATTTTTAACCCAGCTAAGTTTCTGTCAAATATAAATTCCGATTGAAAAGTTTGATGAAATCTTTCGAAGTTTTCACTTTTCCATTATCGGTCGACGAAGAGGTTATGAAGTTTGAATAAAAAAGTTGAAGCGTACCGAAGCTCTTGGCTCTTGATTGAGGTCGAGGGGCGACACCACCGTGAAGGGACTCTTCACCTCCTGATCGAATTTCCATGGACGATCCAGTGTTACCTTAACCGTGTATCGAACGTGTCCGAAATCGGCCTCGAAACTGCTGGGCAAGTTTGATGGTAGAACACATTGGAAAGGGAATTTGTGTTCTCCGCTTTGAATCTCGATTTCGCCTCCTGAACAAATGGGTGATGTGATGAGTAGGTTTAGGGATGTGGAGATTTGGAAATTTATTAATTTGGGGATGTGGAGATTTGGAAATTTATCAGTTTGGGGATGTGGAGATTTGGAAATTTATCAGTTTGGGAATGTGGAGATTTGGAAATTTGACAATTTGGGGATATGGAAATTTCGGAATTTATCAACTTGGAGACATGAAAAGTTGGAGATTTATCAATTTGGGGACATGAAAATTTTCTTATTTTAGGGATAAGGAATTTGGAAATTTTTAAAATGCAATACTTTAAAATTTATGAATGTGGAGATATGGAAATATCTAATTAAGTTAAGAAACTCAGAAATTTAGAAATTTAGTATGTTAGAAATTTCCAAATGTATTTTTAGAAATTTATAGATTTTAGGACTTAGATTTAGAAAGATTTGAAAATTTCGGAGTTCAACTAACAAAATAAAAAGATAATACAACAAGAGTCTAGTATAAAATGAAACGATGGTTTGAAATTATTACCAGAAGCTGATCCAACTAGATAGTACTTGGTTGAAAAATATTCTTCATGGCCAGTAACTGTTTGAGTTCCGTCTCTGTATTGTCCTCTCTCGTCCATATCCTGTTTGTCTGTTGTCCAACATGTGTTTGCTTCACCTTTTACTTTCACGCTTATACCTGTACAATAATAATTATAAAATTATTTGAAGTATAAAATATTGGAGCTTAAACTAGATTGAGGGTGGGTTAGGTTAAATTAAAGTAGATTACGGTAAGGTTAGACTACATTAGGTTAGACCATAGTCTAACATTATCATAATAAGGTTAGGTCAAATTAGATTAAACTACGATAAGGTTAGGTTAAATTATATTAGACTATGATAAGGTTAGGCTAGATTAGATTAAACTGCGGTAAGGTTAGGTTAAATTAGAGTAGATTATGATAAGGTTAGGCTAAATTAGATTAAACTACGATAAGGTTAGGTTAAATTAGATTAGACTATTATAAGGTTAGGCTAGATTAGATTAAACTATGGTAAGGTTAGGTTAAATTAGAGTACATTATGATGAGGTTAGGCTAGATTAGATTAAACTATGGTAAGGTTAGGTTAAATTAGAGTAGATTAGGATGAGATTAGGCTAGATTAGATTAAACTACAATAACGTTAGGCTAGATTAGATTAGACTACTGTAAGGTTAGGTTAAATTAGATCAGACTGTGGTAAGGTTAGGCTAAATTAGCTTAGACTACGACAAGGTTAGGCTAAATTAGCTTAAACTATAGCAAGGTTAAGTTAAATTAGGTTAGACTATAGTAAGGTTAGTTTAAATTAGGTTAGTCTATGGTTAGCTTAAGTTAAGTTTGATCAGTTTACAGACAACTTAGTTTAAATTATATCATGTTACAATTACATTACGTTAACTTAAATTAGGCTAGAGTTAGATTGCGTTAAATTATATTGTATTGCGGATTCATCAGACTAAATTATACTTGATTATGGTCCCATTACATTAGATTAAATCAAACCTCGGTTATGTCAGGTTTCTCAACATGTTCCTCAAAACCATAACTTCAGCAGTGTCATAAAAAAAAATACTTCTTTAAACAACATACTGTTAATTGTATATCACGCACATCGCAAGATAGTAATTAACAACGCCTTAATTATTAGACTAACAATCTAAAGTGATAATTGTAATAGATAACGAGACACGATTATTTGCATTGTGCCAGCAAACGCGTTAAGATTTAGACGAATACCTAAAGCATCACGGCGTATAAATAAACACTCGAAAGAGAAATACCCATAATGCTGACCGAATATACACGAATGAAAAATTTACACCGCATTAAAGAGCTTCCCTCGGACAGGCTTCTATCAACAGAGGGAAATGGAATAAAGCATTGTAAAAGCAATCGAGCGTGACGACAACAAATGTTTCTCAACCGGTAGGCTGTGTGCGGGTGTACAGAGGAGCGCTATAATTAAACTACACCTTGCAATAAAGAAGAGAAGAAATCTCTTCAGGAATGCGGCGACAACAGACACGCGGCTTACGCGTTAGACGGTTATGCGAACTGGAGCAAAACTTGAAAATATGTGCGGTTCGCGGTTAGGTTAGGTTTTTTAATTTTTACGCTTTCAGATTTTTGGATTTGGGAATTTGGATCTTGGGTGGGTTGCGGGATTTGGAATTGAAGATTTGAGAATTTGAGAATTTGAGAGTTTGGGAATTTGGGAATTTTGAGAATTTTGAGAATTTTGAGAATTTGAGAATTTTGAGAATTTTGAAAATTTTGAGAATTTTGAGAATTTTGAGAATTTAAAGAAATTTTGAGAATTTGAGAGTTTGAGAATTTGAAAATTTGAGAATTTGAGAATTTGAGAATTTGAGAAGTTGAGAAGTTGAGAAGTTGAGAATTTGGTAATTTGAAAATTTCAAAACTTAGAAACTTGGAAAATTGTGAGAATTGGAAATTTGAAAACTTGAAAGTTTAAGAATTTCAAAACTTAGAGACCTGAAAAATTGTGAGATTTGGAAATTTGAAGATTTGAAAATTTATGAATTTGAAAATTGAAAAACTTAGAAACTTGTCAGATTTGGAAATTTGAAGACATAGAAATATTAAACTTTAAAATGTAGAAATTTCCAAATTGTCAAATAACATTAAAAACATCGTAAACTAAATAATCATGAAAGATACTGGTAAAATAATTAATCAGAAAAATTGCTAAGAAAATATCAGAACTGAAATACTGCGTTACCACAACTTTGGTGTACAATTGGTTTAACAATATTATCCTTCAGAGAATATTAAACCTGAGTCACTATATCAGTTTTATCTTGGCATAGTTACATCTTAATGGAACGTTTACGTTGAAATGCCTCTTGAAGGCCACGTCTTTCTTTTCAATTAACTCTGGAATACTAATATATGTGTGCCAAAATCATGTATAGTTGAATCTCGCTATATGGCCTTTAGTGCTACTGTAACTGTGGCGAAATGTGTGAAGGAGGTCATATAAGAGGAACTGTTTCAATAAATGGCTCTAAACTTTGCTCAAACTTAAAATTTCTAATATTAATAAAATTTCTAACATCAATAAAATTTGTTAAAATTTCTAATATTTACTTTTAAATTATAGGTATTATTTCCAAAACTTTCAAATTTCCAAAACTCTGTGCTGCAAGTACAGATTAATCTTTCAAAGCACATTGTCTACTCCCCACAATGCCCACATATTTATATAACTTCAGAACGCAAGCAATATATCTTGAAATAAGGAGAAGCACTATACTTCAGTATTTAACCCAAGATTTATGGACATTTAGTGACCACTAATATTCAACTGAAATTAAATTACAAAATAAATATTTCACTAAATTATAAAATAAACAATGGATATTTCATGAACCTATACAATGATTCTCCATTTTGAGAAAGTTTAATATTTCAATAATTCTCAATAATTCTTATAATTGAAAAGGAATTTTGCATTAAACCTAGCTCCAAATTACTTAGAAAAGAGTTAAATACTTGTAAATTGAAAGTGAAGTAGCGAAAGAAATCAGTAAATACCGCACCATCTATTTGCAATCATTTACCTCAAGAAAGTGTGACAAAAATTTCGCCAAAATGTGAAAACTTTGAGAATTTCAAGACTTAGAAATTTGGAAAATTGTGAGATTTGAAAATTTGAAAATTTGGAAATTTGAGAATTTCAAGACTTAGAAATTTGGGAAATTGCGAGATTTGAAAATTTGAAAGTTTGGAAATTTGAGAATTTCAAGACTTAGAAATTTGGGAAATTGCGAGATTTGAAAATTTGAAAGTTTGGAAATTTGAGAATTTCAAGACTTAGAAATTTGGGAAATTGCGAGATTTGAAAATTTGAAAGTTTGGAAATTTGAGAATTTCTGGAAAATTGTGAGATTTGGAAATTTGAAAATTTGAAAGCTTGAGAATTTCAAAACTTAGAAATTTGGAAAATTGTGAGATGTGGAAATTTGAAAATTTCAAAGTTTGAGAATTTCAAAACTTAAATCTTGGAAAATTGTGAGATTAGGAAATTTGAAAATTTGAAAGCTTGAGAATTTTAAAACTTAGAAACTTGGAAAATTGTGAGATTTGGAAATTTGAAAATTTGAAAGTTTGAAAATTTCAAGACTTAGAAATTTGGAAAATTGTGAGATTAGGAAATTTGAAAATTTGAAAGCTTGAGAATTTCAAAACTTGGAAATATGGAAAATTGTGAGATTTGGAAATTTGAAAATTTGAAAGCTTGAGAATTTCAAAACTTAGAAATTTGGAAAATTGTGAGATGTGGAAATTTGAAAATTTCAAAGTTTGAGAATTTCAAAACTTAAATCTTGGAAAATTGTGAGATTTGGAAATTTGAAAATTTGGAAATTTGAAAATTTCCTAAGACCATTGACTAATTTCTAATATCAGTCCCAGAACTAATCCGATATTAAAATTATTATATTTCCAGAATTACACCTGACACAACAATTCCAAAATTAATAACAAAATAATAGAACAATGTCGATGATAAACACCTGTCCGATCAACTTCTATCAACAGATTCGCGGTCCGTGAAACGGAAATAACAATGGTACATGACTCATAGAATCATCGATGATCTCATCGCACAACACGTAAATAATATGTACATACCGCGAATCTTTTTCGTGCTATCCAGCACAACGATGATATTTCCGGCGACCGTCTGTCCTGGATAGTAAGTGCTCCAAGGATTGTCGAAAACGATGCGGAAGTCCTTGAGTCCCATATTTTCTGGTGCACGCCGCACTTCCGTCGACGTCTCGTTTCACCGATGTTTTTTTTTCGATCAATTCTATTACATTCACGACCACTGAATACGTTTCGACAACGAGTTTCGTTACAAATCGTTGGCACAACGTGGCTATATCGAGCCGGTCTACATTCGTGTTTGCGAGTATACTCCACACTGCTGAGCACTCGATATTTCTCTTCTGCGCAGACACCGGTGGTAGGAGAACAATTTTCTACAGGTCGTCTCAAATGTTGTGTTAACCGCTTTGAGAGAATTTCGTGTCTTTAAAGCGTTTCGCGTTGCAAATTTTATTTTGGGAAAGTATTTTTGCAAAATATTTTTAGTTGCTGATATGGTACTAAAATGAAGTAGCACTAATTTAAAAAAAAGTGTGAGATATCTCGTAGATGGCGGTTTTAGAAGCTTACTATGATTTCTCTGGTAAAAGTAATTTTATTCATAAACACAGCAACGGAACAGATGAAAGAAATGTAAGTTCAAATTTTTTAGAAAATAAAATTACATACTTATCTTACTTATGTAAGTTCTAATTAAAATAAAATAAAATTACATATTTATTTTACTTGTATTTTAATCCATTCACTATGAGATACCTTAAGAATTAAAAAAAAAAAATAAAATTACAAATTTATTTTACAATTAGATAAATATGTAATTTTATTTTTTAAGAAATATGAACTTGCATTTCTTGCATGAGTCTTCCTATTGCAGTGTTCACAAATAAAATTAGGAACTGCAAAAATATTTGACATATTGTGCAAAATAATCTTCAAGAGTCTTTATGTGTCTCTCACTAAATTTGAAATATAGTTGTCATAATTTTATGAAGCAACCTATACAAGAGATATACAAGAAGAGCCATTTAATATTTATGTAATACAACAAACTGATAAGTAATAAAGTTCCACAGGCAGATATAATTATCAACTTTGATTTTGCAGTTTTTGATAAATTTTGATAAATAGAAGTGAAATGAAGTGAAATGAAATGAAAGTGACTTCTATATGACGGGTTTTTATGACATCATTATTGAATTTTTAATAGTTAATTGTTTAGAGAAAGTAATATAGAATTATTAAATTTGTGAATGACATGATAGCTATGACAACGAGGATGTTAGAGTTCTTGAACTATCACGAGTTCAATTGTCGTGAATTATCTCAGTATTTTCTGCTTTTGTGCAAGCTTCTTGTGGATATATTTAACTTATTGTGTTCGTGACAGATTATGTGTAGAACGTATTGATGTTCGTGTCACCTGATCTGGAGTACAATAAAACCTCATATCTTATAATTCCTGCATTCTGTATTTCAGGTTGTAGGAAAATTTTTCGAATTTCTTTAATATACTAATAGTATTATTCTTGCAAATTATTTGTGCATTATTGCGTGAATTATTATTCATTTGTAATTAAATATTATATTTGAATTTAGGTTTTTATTTAAGGTAATAGCGATAAAATTAAATGGGGCGATTTAATTTGTAATAAAGTATGTGAAAATGATTATAAGTTTATTATAGAGTAATTATTGTGGATGGTTATTACTTTAAATAGTAATTCAGTAGTGAGACTAACATACATTTTTAAATTTCGCGGGCACTGGATAAAAAAAAACAGCATCATATGTTCCATCTAGCGATGAGGGTACGGACTATAGATAAAAATGCGTTTTTAAATAAAATAGAACTGTTAATTATAATTTGTGACTCTTCCGAATTTTTTGTAGACAGGCTTTAGTATTAGAAAAATGATTTGCAGTGAGTTTGAAGCATTATATTTAGAAATTTTAGAAATCATATTGTAGACGTTGAAGTATCCAGCCATCTAATGGTAGAATTAATGGAACTTAACTTGATAAGCTCAATAAAATACTGAAAAGCCGTCTAGACATTCTGAAATTAATTAGTCTTGCTCTACAATGTAATTTGATGCATACTATAGTAATTTAAATCAATAAAATTAATATTAATTGGGGTTTTAGGAAAATTGAACAAGTGGCGCCATCTCTCCGGCAAACAGGGTGAACTACACACTTTTGAAACTGCGCTTTCATTAGTTTCTCCGCGCTGCCGCTAGACGGCGCCACGTGTACCATTTCCGATTAATTCCGTTAATACAGCTAATTTTATTTGCCTAATTGACTATAGTATGAATCAAATTATATCGGAGTGCAACACCAACTAACTTCGAACTATTTTAACTTTATTAAATTCTTAACAATTTTTAACCATTCGTAAGTAAATCCTAAATAGTCTAAGGTTACTATTGCAAGACATTTATTCGGAATTACAAATAGGACTTTTCTTGACGGACTGCTTTGATAACAGAACACTTCTTGATCAACGGATTTGATAACAGAACTCTTCTTAATCAACGACTCTGATAACAGAACTGTTCTTAATCAACGACTTTGATAACAGAACTCTTCTTAATCGACGACTCTAATCATCACCATATTGGCATCTTATGTGGCGCCGTCTAGTGGCAGAAAACGGGAACTAATTAAACTACTGTATCAAAAGGGTGTAGTTCACCCTGTTCGCCGGAGAGATGGCGCCACTTGTTCCATTTTTATAAAAATTCAATTTATACTGATTTTATGGATTAATATGCTATATATTTATTGTATAATTATTAATATTAATTTTCTGCAGTTTATAATACATACCATACGTCCAAACATGCGGTTTATGTATTCAAAACAGTTCACCCGGTATAGTGTATCTCGTCGATGATGTAGGGAATGACATGAGAATGGCAAAAAATTGTTTTTCGAATCTCCAAAAAATATTTTCACAGATATCTTCTTTTGCAAAAAAGAGTTTACTTTGAGAGCAAAATTTGATTGATATGAAAGTATAATGGTATTTTGAAGTTTCCTCAAAATATGAGCACACACTTGTGACAATTTTAATATTTATTTATTTCAAAAAGGGCCAATAATCATAACAGTCGAGGCCCTTATAAAATCAATGAATCAATCAATCAATTTATTTAAAAAATGCCTCGTTGAAATTACATATAATGCATGTCACGCGTATGTTACTATGTTCAGAGCACTTGCCGTGTTGATAAGAACATTTTAGCCGCCATTTTCCCTAGACCATCCACATTTAACCCCACTCCCACTTATTTACCTTATCAATTCCTCAAGTATTAATAAATTATCAATCACAACCAATCTCCTTATTTCATAAATACTATATAGACAACCTTCTTTTGGTCAAACTTAATATTTCCCTACATTAAAGAACCTTTAGTAAACAATTTTCTTATGCTACATGCAATCCTTCGCAATTTAACTTCGCAATCATGAAAAAAAATTCACTACGCCGAAGTACCTTCGGAACAAGTTTTTCCGTTTAAACATCGTCATTCTCGATGTCTTTCGCAATATCAACGGCAAGTAGCTGAGGATTTTATCTAGTTTAATCACGATATCTCGACTCTTATCAGATAACGGAATTTATACTTATGCTGCAATACTCGAATTTTTCGCTGATGAAATGCTATTTCATATAACTAGTTCCATATACAATTTCTACGTACAATAATCTTTTGATGTATCTATAATTTATTTCCTAGTACGTTCAGGAATCTCTACATTCTCGAGTTTCTACATTTCCGAATTTCTACACTGTCGAATTTTTATATTCTCGTATTTTTATATTTCCGAATTTCTACATTCTTGAGATCCTACACTTCCAAATACGCACTTTGTCAAATCTCTACACTTCGGAGTCTCAGCATTGCCGAATTTCTACACTTCCGAGTCTCTACATTTCCTAATTTCTGCGCTTTCGAATTTTTATATTCCCGAATTTCTACATTCCTGAGATTCTACACTTCCAAATTCCCACTTTGTCCAACCCCTACAGTTCCGAGTCCCTACATTTCCTAATTTTTGCGCTTTCGAATCTCTATATTCCCGAATTTCTACAGTTCCGAGACCCTACACTTCCAAATTCCCACTTTGTCAAATCCCTACAGTTCCGAGTTCCCACATTTCCTAATTTCTGCGCTTTCGAATCTTTATATTCCCGAATTTCTACAGTTCCGAGACCCTAAACTTCCAAATTCCCACTTTGTCAAATCCCTACAGTTCCGAGTTCCCACATTTCCTAATTTCTGCGCTTTCGAATCTTTATATTCCCGAATTTCTACAGTTCCGAGACCCTAAACTTCCAAATTCCCACTTTGTCAAATCCCTACAGTTCCGAGTTCCCACATTTCCTAATTTCTGCGCTTTCGAATCTTTATATTCCCGAATTTCTACAGTTCCGAGACCCTAAACTTCCAAATTCCCACTTTGTCAAATCCCTACAGTTCCGAGTTCCCACATTTCCTAATTTCTGCGCTTTCGAATCTTTATATTCCCGAATTTCTACAGTTCCGAGACCCTACACTTCCAAATTCCCACTTTGCCGAATCCCTACACTTCCGAGTCCCTACAATCTCAAATTTCCACATACCCGAATCCCTACATGCCCCGATTCCTACATACCCGAATCCCTACATTACCGAGTCCCTACATTACCGAATTTCTAAACTTCCGAGTCCCTATATTCCCGAATTTCTACAGTTCCGAGACCCTACACTTCCAAATTCCCACTTTGCCGAATCCCTACACTTCCGAGTCCCTACAATCTCAAATTTCCACATACCCGAATCCCTACATGCCCCGATTCCTACATACCCGAATCCCTACATTACCGAGTCCCTACATTACCGAATTTCTAAACTTCCGAGTCCCTATATTCCCGAATTCCTACAAATCCGACTACCTACATCTCCAAATTCCCTCCTTCCCAAATATCTACATCTCCAAATTAGTACATCCCCAAATCCCCCTTTCCCAAATATCTACATCCCCAAATTAGTACATCCCCAAATCGCTACGTCCGCAAATCACCATGTCCCCAAAATCATTTCTCCAATTTACCTCAAACCCTCCCCTAAATCTACCACTAACCTACTCACATCTAACCTAACCAGCACCAGCTCAGTAAAAGATTAAAAAACGGAGAAAGACGATATAGAAACTGTTTCAAGATTCAAGTAAATGTAAACGTTTAGATCTAAGAGCATTCTCTGTTATCTTAATATGCCATCAATAATATATTACCGCTTCAATATTAATAACACTAATCCATGCCTATTGA